TCTTTGCAGTTCAAATAACCTCAAAATGACATCTGGCTTTTTATACAGAGAAAAGGTTTTGAGCACAAGAAAACTTATTTAGACATTACAATGTTAATGCATAAAATAAAGCTCTGTGGGTTCTCAAGTGTCTTCTTAGTGTCTTCTTAATGAAGAATGTCAGAGAATTTAACAAAACACTTCTTTTCAGCAATATGTCAAGGTATGTATTTCTCCACCGTAAGGAAATTATCTTCTCAGCTTTCTAAAGTGTACTGGCTTCCTGTGTGTAAGTCAGTGGAAACCATGCTAGCTACAATGAATAGGTATATAGATGTCATGTAAACAGGATTCTTAGATGTTTTTCAAACATATGCAAAGAAAAATAATACACTTAAAAATAAACTAAAGGTTTCCTGATGAGTTTTATATTTTGATTTTTATACAATGTTCCCCAAGACTATACAATGGTTTTAATCATAATTTTAGTGACGCTTCTTAAAAATCACATGCAGCCATCTCAAACTTTTCAATAATGCATTACTGTCAGGTTTAATGTTTTGTTGCTGAACAGTAATGTCTGATTCAGAAGTACAAATGCAAATCTACTTGATGATGCAAAGATTTAAGCAAGGCTTCTCCAGGATATCAAGTTCCCATAACATAACAAAAAGAAATCTCAGACATCCTTTATGAGTACAGAAGGTGTCTGGGAAAGTCATAAAAAGCATATGGCTGAAAAAAAGACAAGGATTTCATAGTGTTCAGCCAAATTGCACAGTTTCAATTTAAATGAATATTTGTATATGAGTGTTCTACCCTAAATAAAACATTTAATGTCTGAACACTTTTTGCCAGTTTTCCACTAGATTTTTTGGTTTTGTCCTATCCTATAATGGATAGAATGTCCACTCTATGACCTTCTCAGGGCTTGCTGCGAAATACTTTAGAAAGAGTCCTACATCTCCCAGTCAGAAGACCTGACAGGAGAAAGGTGTCTGTATGGCAGCAGTAGATCATGTGTCTTGAATTTTTTTTTGTTGTGCTTCAGTAACTAATAGAAGAGGAAGATACTTTGCTGTAGGCACTCAAGTCAGTTCTCCAAAAGCAAGTCAGTAGGTGCAATAACTTGTTCCCTGAGCCAACAGGTAATCAAAACCTCTGATGTCAAAAGTTCAATATAACTCAGTTGCAGTTCTTTTGGTAGATTTCTTCTTCTCCATTACTTTGTAGGAACTTATTTGTGAAGTACTGAATGACTTTCAGGATTTATTAAATGAAGGGAACGTACCCATGTTGTGGTTTCTCTTGTGCAGAGTGAGTAGTATGAATGCCATTGCTGTATGATGGCTGTTAAGTGGTTGTCAGCACCCAAAAGGGTGCCTGTTGTACTGTTGTCTTGATTTTGCTGCTCACTCAGCATTGCAAGGGGAGTATGGAAATCTTTTTGTAGCTCAGAGACATCTGGTAAAATCTTGTGGTCTGTCTTCATTTAGCTTGTGGTACCTTTAAAACACTCCTCCAGATGAATGAAGACAGCACAAATAAAAAATCAATGTTGTGTTAGGGCTGTCTTTGCATTGCAAGTGCAGCACATGCATCAGTGATATTATTTAACTGGCAGTTGTATCCAGACTGTGTTGCATGGTTCTGTTACTCTAGAATGCCTGTTCTTAAAAAGCCCTATGGATTTAAAAGAGATAGCATATCAAACTGCATTTAAAACAAACAGGACATCACAGGTCATTAGATGTGTCACATTGTAGCATTTTCTGAGGGATTTTGCTTAGTGTTTCCAGTTAAAAATTCTATACGTTAAAAATTGACTGACTACTGAAAAAAAAAGTAACTATTTGGAAAAAAAAAAAAAAAAAAAGCAACAATATTTCAGGGTTATCTTTGTCACTTTCCTGCTTACTATTTTAGGAAACTAAAACTCAAGCAACCAATCAAAATCTTGTAAAGGTCATCTAGTTATCCCCAAATAACTCATTAAAAATATTCAATAAAATGTTAATGTAACTCAGTTCTAATAAACACTGAGATTTTCCAAATATATGGAATATATTACAAAATGGTAGTTTGAAGTCTTGAATCCACAAGGTACAAAGCTTTCCTTAGTGTACATTTTGGTTCTTACACTGAAGCCTGGATGGAGCCTTAAATGAAATTGTTTACCTTAATACTTAGGTTTTAAAGGCTTTCAAACTCCCTAAACTTACAAACAATCTTTATTAAGAATCAAGTGAATGCCAGTAAAGACAGTGAAAACAAGTATAGTTAAGAGATGGATAGATTCACATCTGGGTCTGAAGTAAACTGGTATAAGGTACAAATTTATATAAACTACACAGTTGAGATTGTGGCCCTTTATTTTCAAAGTCAAAAGAAGAAAAGCAGTGTGGGAGAACGGATGTGATAGATCACAAAAAAAGAGATATTTTAAGGGCTAAGTTTCTTGCCTGCAGAGTAAATCACCCTCTGTATCCTTAAGTCATTGACTGCACCTTTCTTTTGTGAGGTGATCTTTCTTGCCTATTGCAAAGTTTGAAAAAGGACAGATTGCTCCAGCTCATTCTGCACCAATTCTGTCCCAAAATCTTAGCCATTATGTGTCCTACCTGCAACAAAAGACAAAATGCCACTTCCTGGCTGTATAAGATGTTTATCCTCACCCTTATATGATCTCTCTGTTTCAAAATAGCTGTTAGATAATGATTTCAGAAGATAGAATGGAAACTCTTCTCAACCCCCTGCAGTTTCAAGATTTTTCTCTGATTTCATAGCGCAGGAGCCTCTCCAGGGATGCCTTCACAATGCTAAGAGGGGAACAGAAGTTATTGCAGGGGGATCAGGTGCAAGGGGAGGCTCCAAAACAAGCAAAGAGGGCCAGATGGGACAGGGCCAAAAGTTCAGAAAATTGCAGTACTGTAATGACTGCCTTTTGAGGAAAGGGGGGAAAAAAATTCTTTATCAGAAGAGAGACATCAAATTAAATTATTGAAATGGTACAGCCTGTAGTTTTTGCCATGTCAAATACCTTGGGAATCTCTGGGGAAAGAAAACATAAAAAAAACCTATCTAAAACTTAGCACAAATCCTACAGGAGATGGAGAGTCAGGGAAATGCAACAATTGAGAAATTGCCTTATTTTCATTTTCTAGAGGTACTCTGTGGAATTTGAAGGGACTGTGGTCTGTATTCAATAGGGCTTCCCAGGTATAAATGTAATAAACCAAATAATTCTTCCACCAGTTATTTCTTTTGAGCAGTCTTCCCAAGACAGTGCTCTGTGCATAAGGGGATTTCTGTAATAATTACTCCTGGGAACCCAGTGGAATAAGCGGTAATTACACTATCTAAACACAGAAATAGATCCTTGTGCCATGGGTACTAGTACTAATAGGAAACCTTACTCCAAATTTCTAAGGGCTTTTTAGTATTCATCATCTTCCAGCACTGCAAGATTGAAGGGTTGCACAGACTTTCTTACTCTGCAGCTTATAAGAGCCACCTGTCTCATAACTAGTATAATAAACAGTTGCTGTACCCTTGGGTTCCTTTCCTCAGCTACAGAGTAGGGCCAGCAGATGTTATGCAAAATGAGGTTCTCCATTATTATGGGATTGCTCAAAGGGCCATAATACCAACCCACCCCCAAGAGAATGAGTCAGTCAAGCAAGCTTGAATACTATTCTTATTTCTATCAGTACAAATGGAAATCACAACACAGTTAGTAAGCCATGCCACCAAATGGAGGAAAAGAACCAGATGCAAAACTAGCAGAAGAAATTGATACCTGTGACGTGATGGTCTGAGAGATGATATGTAGTGTACCAAGAAGAAAAACCATTCCATTGGACAAAAGGCCCACCTTCACCACCTGGTACTTTTGCCAAGCTAGAGGGTCTCAGGAAGAGTGAAAATGGTGAAAAAGCTAAAAGGCAAGCTGAGATCTTGGAGGCAGTGTGTGTATTATTTGTACTATTATTCTAGAAGTTCTACTCAGAATAAATTCACAACATTCTAGTCCTTCATAATTATGTACTAACTTTCACACTTCAGAAAAATTGTTCATTTCATTGCTGTGACTTACTGAATCAAAGATTCTAAATTTCTTTTCATGCCTTGGACCAAGGCACCAAAAATAAACCCTCTGTCTGCTCAGTCTCTAAATATAGCCAAGAATTAAGATATTCCTGCTTCTGCATCCTAAATAATCTAATGGAATCAATTACTGTTTTGCGTAGATGACATCTGGTATTTGCAAATAAAACATGAAACATGATATCCAACCAAAATAAGCATGAAACTAAAGTTTCCATCCAACTACATCCTCAGTAAATGTAATAGTTTTGCTTCACAGGATGGATTTTTCATATCTCTTATAAACTTCAGCTTAAAGCTTTGTGAGAGCAAGTAACAGCAAGAGAAGAACAGGGCTGATGACTTTGACTTCAGCCGCTGGTTAAGCCAGTGAACACCTCATGAATACACTGAGAACACTGTCCCATTGCTTGGAGTTTCAGTCTCATGCTTTTATTGAGCAGAATACCAGTCATGTCAAGCAAAATCACTTTATTTGTACCATGAGACACAACAAGGTTCAGAGTGAACACCAATGTCAGCTGTGGAAAGGAGAGAATCTGAAATGTATTAAATACAACTGTTTCCCACTGGCAGTAAGATCTTTTCCCCATTATATTTCACAGGTAAGTATAGTCGTACTATATAATACCCATGTTTACAAAATATATCCCATTGTAGCACTTCACTGGCATTGCAATTAGAGCTTTATTCTGTTAGAGCCAGAATCTCCTTGGATGTACATACAGGATTTGGGGATGTTGCTCGCTCTTTCTTTCTTCCTTCCTTAGGAAAAAAACCAAAAAAATCTTTACTGTGAGAGCAGTGAGGCACTGGAAGAGGCTGCCAAGAAAAGTTGTGGGTCCCCATTCATCCCTGGCAGTGTTCAAGGCCATGTTGGATAGTGAATTGAGCAACCTGGTCTAGTGAAAGGTGTTCCTGCCCATGGCAGGGAGATTGGAACCAGATGATCTTTCAAGTCCCTGCCAATCCGTTCTATGATTCTGACTCTGTGATTCTTTTCTTTCTTTCTTTTATCTGTTCCCTTTTTTTTTTTCCTGTTGGTTTTTTTTTTCAAATGCAGCGTAAATAGATAAATATGACTTTACCTGCAATCAAGGACTGCCCTCTTCCTTCACCAAATAATGCATGGCCAGAAAGGGGAGGGGTTATGTGCCCCTCCATACTCCGGAGCTGTTAAAACAGCAAAACAAGCACTTCTGCTCTAAAGACTGGCTAGACTGTCTCTGAGCAACCTTGGAGGAAGCCATTTCTCCTGAAATGCTCTACAATGGAGACCCATATTTCCTCACAATTCTGTGTCCTGCTAAACTTTCAAACCTCTGAAACAGCTGGGCCATGATACTTCATACCAAAAGATGAATGCTGGAGACTTTTCAGTGGTTGAGGTTGCTGGTCAAGATCAAAGGTGTGAACCATTCCTGTAAAACCCTTCTTCTGACTGTCCCTCTCTGCCATATTCTGTGTGTTGGGAACTGCAGTTGCAGATTTTACCTCTCTGCAGCTGCATAATTCCCACCCATTTCACCATCACTTGCTGACAGTGTGAACAGGGATGGAAGAAAGTGCTCCCCATATTCTCCTTGCCTACGTGATGTTCAGTTTTCTCCCCTGCTCTGTCCAAGTGCTTCCCAAGGTAAATGAGTAAGTCACTTGAAGCAAGTTAAACCTATTTTTTTTCTTTTCCCTCTAGATTAAATGTCAATCATGCCTATTCTTTTATCAAATTCACCAGGTCCCTGTACAAATGCTGCTTCCAACACAGAGAAGGGGGACAGCTCAGGTAAAGGAATGAGTGAGCTGTGCAGGAGAAAAGGGAGAGGGATATTTTTAGTGGCAGCAGCATCTTGTGGTGTGGTAAAGTTTTTGTGAAACTACAGCAAAGTCACCAACTGTCATCATCATGTCTGAATTCATAACCTTCATCCTGTCCCCTTTATTATAGTGCCATATATTCTAGCCATACTACATTTTATATATATATATATATATAGCTAAAATGATGGAAAAAATGCTTGACTTCAGGTACACAGGTGGAATGAATGGGATTACAGCCCAACAAATCCCTAAATATCGATAACTTACTGGTTTCTGAAACTAATACATTTTGTTTAGTTTTTTTTTGTTGTTGTTGTTGTTGTGCAAATATTTCTAGAATCACTATCTTACTTAAAAGAAATTAGCATTCCATTTGAAAATATCTGGCTTTAATTCTTTTTACTACAGTCATTGCACTTGCTGAAAAAAATACCAATTCACAGCATGACACAGCTATCTATGAAATAATTTAACTGCATCATGCACAGTCAGCAGAAGTTCTGCACTGTAATTTGGAGAAAAAGACTTCATACTGTTACTCTCTGAGCTACATATTATGCTTCAACAATTTCCTTTCCTTCCTATATGTTGAAAAAAATATGGGCAGTTATCCAGTTACACCAGAGCATCCCTTTTAAACACCAGAGGTTTGTATTTGACATGAAAAAAAGGCTTTTTTTTGCATGTAATTTTAATTTATTATAAACCATAAGTCATATCAATGGCATAAGCAGGTGCAACTACCAGTGATGGTTTAAAAATTCTCGATTGTTTGATTTGACCAAACACTACAGAAATTACTTGATCTACTCAGTGACAGTATACATGGAAAAGGTAGCCATGCAAGAAGCCAAAATAACTGCCAACATTGAGTTTTAGAGCACGGGTTTGAGTTGTGAAGCTTAGTACCCTTGCTGTCTGTGGTTGTGTGAAAGCTGTCTGGAAGGACACTTGCAGAATAAAAACCTTGGGAGTTTTAGCAACCATGTAAATGATAACTCTCACAGGTGCTGCTTGAGTGCATGTAGAAGTGGCATGTCTCTAGTTTGTCTGTGCATGGTGTACCCAGGTGGCAAATCAGTCAGATTTGCCTTTCCCCAGCACCCCTGTTTGTAGCAGGATGCCCTGGGAATGTGGAACACAGTGCATGCTGCTCACACCAGGCCATCTCTGCCCACTTCTGTTTTAAACCTAGCTACTCCCCATAGTAATCTGTTAGTACTTTTGCAAAGGCAAAAGTACCAAATTTTACTCAAATTTATGTTTGTACTTGCTGTTACTCTGGGTAACTTAAAGTTGTTGTAGAAAGATGTGAGTCATTGGAAGGATCTTGACATCTAAACCTTCCTAAATAATGTACCTTATCAGTAAATGTTTAACTTCTTTTGAAGACTAGATAATGTATGATATACTACTTCCAGCAGCATGTTTTAAGTCACTGAGAGGAAAAAAATCTTGGCCTAATAAAATCTAGGAAAAACTGGCAATGAGCAAAGAAGATCTGTGACCAGAAAATTGTCTCAAAGGTGGAAAAGTATCTTATAAATACATATTTATTATTCATTTTATTTACCAAGAATAACTCTTCAGTAGCGAGCCTCTCAGTTATGACATATTAAAATCTTGGCCCCTACCAATTATACCAATACCAATACCCTTACCAAAAATATTATGTTGAGCTGCCCTCAATATAATATTGGTAATATAATGTCACTTACATCAATATAATATCACTTACATCAATTTCATTGGTCTAGCATAGATTAAAGAAGTCAAAAAGTAAAAAACATTAGTTTCCAACTCATTTGAAGGTGAATAACCATCCTGCTGTATTTTTAGTGGTATATTTAGTACAATGGAAATAGTACTAAACAGCTGTAATAGTCATATGGTAAGGAACAAGGCAGTCTCTCCCAAGTGCTACAAAAGCTGTATGGTTTGCTGCTAAAATCACTGATAATAAGCAGCTCTTTGAGTCCAGCCAAAGCAGCAAGAACGGGCGTGATTCAGCAGCACAGGAGTGTAAGCGTGTCACTGAGAGGTGCTCTTCTGGAAACTGCTTTTAACACACTGAAACTCTTTCTTGGCTGGCTCAGTTGATGGTCACGTGCTTTTGTTGCCGTGTGCTGTGAGAACCAGTTTCATCAGGCTTTGCTATAGAAATGTAAATGTGATTTATGATGGTCTATAGTAATTCTATACATCTCTTATGTCTGTGTTCTTATAGCCACTTGGGCACTGAAGTAGCGGAAATGAGAAAGAGGCAGCAGTCACAAAATGAAGGAACATCAGCTGTGTCTCAAGCACCTGGAAACCAAAGGCCCAACAACACATGTTGCTTTTGTTGGTGCTGTTGCTGCAGCTGTTCATGGTATGTCCTGTAGTATATTTGTTTCCATATCCAACACAGGTAAACAATGAGAATGGAAAGCACTGGGAACATGTTAACTTCTGGGAGCGGAGACACAATTCAACTTTTCACTTAAAAAGTTGATTTAAATATTTCCTGATTTGGTTGAACATCTTGTGATGGGGAAGAGGAAAGAATAGTAAATCCAAGCTATATTTATCCTACTTAAGCCATAACTAAATGAGGAAATTTCAAGTAAAACTTTTATTTTTGAGTGAGAGACTCAATAATTAATATTTTTTAGCTTGCATTCGAAACACTTTTTTTCTGCTTGTCCTTTGGATAGTGCACTTCTCTGCATTCAGGAGAATAAAAGGGAGATGGTCACAAATGTGAATATGTGGTGTCCTATTTTATTACTAATATGAATTCAGTGAATCTGAAAACATGAGCCTTAAATTCCACTTTTAAATAGAGTGGCATAATTTTAGTGGTTGCTTGTCCCTTCCTCAACAAAGTGTTCACTTGTAAAGTCAAAGATTTAAGGTCAGTTTCAGAAATAGCTTTACATTCTCAGTGTCTTGAGATGCACCAGATCTTTGTTTCTTATTTTTATGAACACAGTATTGAAATATAAGGTAAATGGCATGCAGTACTCTTCAGAGACCGTGCATCATATTAACCAGACAGTTCAGTTTGTTTGCAATCACCATTCCTCTGTGTATCTGTGTTATTTTCACTTCAATCACCCATCTGGCCCCAGTCTAAAACCTGAAGCTATTTTCTTCAGTATATTTAAACATACATACCAGTATATATGCACTAGGGACAGGTTTTTTCCCAAGATCCTGCCACATCCTGGAGGCTGTGACAGGGTCGACCTGCCTTATCTGTTACTTCCAGTTTCACTGGAAGGCAGAGTATAGTTGGAGCAAGGATGAGCCAGAGCTCATATTTTACCAAGTTACTTTGCAGTATGTTCAATCCTTATTGAGAAATAGATGGAAGTGTATTAAACAGGAAGTAAGGAGAGGGTCTTTTGTCACTTTCCTTTCTGCTCTGGGACAAGTGCACAATATCAGCTATTCTGTTACAGGACAGAGATTCATTTACCTCAGTATCCTATTTCAGGAAGTGAACTTTATCAGATGCCACAAGAATAAAACAAGTAGATATGAACCTCCTCAAACTACCCAGAGAAAAACACCTCACAATAACTGTCAATCTGAAACTTAGGGATTTCCTGGCCTGGAGTTCCTTTTTGTGTGGTTTATAGACTTTGGTGGAATTTGCTTTCCTTAACTTGTCAAACCATTTTCTAAAGTGACTTCCTAAACTCATCTAAAATTTTGGCACCCAGGGTTTCCTCTAGCAATAAATTCTACAATGGGCATGTGTACTCCCTTTTATTTGTGTTAACCTACTAGAAATTAATTTCATTTGATGCTTCCTAGTTCTTATGTGAAGAACAGTGACTAATCAATCTGGGTGGTCAAGATTTTACAGAGCTCTCTCATATCTCCCTTCACCTGTTTTTTCTTCCACAGTTTTCTCTATTCTAATGTCTGTGATAGAGAAACTGACCCAGATCATGATTTATCCTTATCTGTCCTATTTACTCACCTACCTTGTGTCTCTCTATGTACCTTTCTTATTCTACTATTTCCTGTCTGAGATGTGTGACTTGATCTGCTTTTGTGGTTGAGACACGGGTGCACCATGTTTTGTATTTGCTCTTGAGTTTGTTACTAATTCCTAGCACTCTGCTTATTTTTAAACAGCCCTAGAGATGATGTTTTCATGGAATTATCCACCCTGAATACATCTCTTTCCTGAATGAAAATGAAACCCATAAATGTGCATGTACTGCTAGGGCTGGTTTTTGCCTTGCATGCTAGAATATCAGTAATATTCATGTAATATCAATAGTATTCATATAATATTAATAGTATTCAATACAATATCCATCTAATTTCTAAAACAAGTGATTTCATTTTTTAAGCATGCTACAACTCAAGAAATCTTAAATTTGACAATGATACTCTTATTTTGAAGCTCCTGTGACCCTTGGAGTGCTTCCAGTCCTTAGAAGGCAATACCATTATATATGTAAACAGCTTATGCATGTTAATCCTAAATTAGAGTAATTATTGATTTAAAACACAGGATGCACCTTCAGCTGCTTTAGTAATTTTTTTTACTATCTTTCAGGGTTTTTCAGGGCTTCAGGTTGGGATTTTTCTTTGCAAAGTAGATTAGACAGAGAATGGAGAAATCCTGTTAGCTAGTTTTCAAGATTAAGTCACTTTGATAAGTGATCAAAGGGATAGATACATCACTCATGTTTGCTAAAATCAAAAAGACAGAAAAGGTGATATAATAAGTATTTTCCAGTTTAACTTCTAAGATTCTATAGTAGAATTTTCATTAGAGGAAAGATGGGACAAAATTTTGAAAAATGAAGTATGGAATGTTTCAGAATCTCAGTTAAAATTAAGTAACTGATTGTGATGCCAAATTTGTTTTGTAAATCAGAACTATCCAGGAAAAGTACAGGTTATTGTTCTTGCCTCAGTTGTCTACACTAAAAAATTACAAAAATAATAACTTTTAAAAAGTAACTAACTTTATTATTCTCTCATACAAAGGGGATTCTAGCTAATTAATTATCTAGGGTAGAGCTCTGTAATAGAAAACCTAATCAACAATTGTAACACGTTCTCTGGACCTAATGTAATTACATGCTTTCCCTAGTTCCACAGGTCTTTTTATTTGAGTAACATTAATTTCTCAAGAGATATCTGTCTGCAAATATTGTTAGATTCATTAATGGGGAAGGAAATGTTCTATAAAGATTAGAATTTTCTTCAGCTTTTTTCACTTGTGTGTGACCGATGATAGCTCTTACATCACTAACCACTTATTGCCTCAACTTATTCACCATTCACAGAAATGGGAGGAGTCTGTGCAGGCTTTATTAAAAAATGTTCTCTTTTTACTGTTCAAAGAGTTAGTTCAGTAGTTTCTATATCCAAATAAATCATTAGAATTCTGAAAATATCTTTTGTTAATCATGTGGTGCTTGTTTTGTTCTGTTCTACCCCATGTTAAAATCAGAATAGGCATTAAGTCTTCTGTTTGCACAACAGCTTAGGCAAATATTCACATCTTTGTTTGGGGAAATAGTATCTTGCCTAATAGACCCTTGTTAACAGCAAAAAATTAGAGAAATTATTTGGTACATCTTATTGAAACCCTTTTTTTTTTGTTTTTCTTTAATATATATTTCTTAAAGATAACAGCTATTTGAAGGCCTTCTCTACTGTTATGGGATAATCCTTGTAGGTAGCTCAGCCCAAGGCAGATGCTTACTCACTCCTCACCAACAGGATGGAGAAGAGAATCAGAAAAGTGGAAGCAACAAAACTCTGTTATAGAGATAAAGAGTTTAACTGATAAAGCAAAGCTGTGTGTACGAGTAAAGCAAAAACAAAAAATTCATTCACCGCTTCCCATCAGTTCAGCCATGTCTTGGAAAGCCATGGTCCATCACATGTTACAGTGACTTGGGGAAACATGCTACAACTCTCAACCTCCTCCTTCCTTTTTCTTCTGCAGCTTTTATTGTAGATCCCAATGTCATATGGTATGGAATATCCCTTTGGTCAATTGTGGTCAGCTGTCCCCACTGTGTCTCCTCACAGCTTCTTATGCACCCCCAGCCAGTGACAAGCCCACTGACAAGGCAATGTGAGAAACAGAGAAATCCTTGATGCTGTTCAGTGACTGCTCAGCAGCAGCTATAACCTTATTGTGTTGTCAATATTGTTTTGGTCAAAAATCCAAAACATAGCACCATAAGGATCCCTATAAAGAAAATTAACTCCGTCTCAGCCAGATTCAGTACATCTATTGGCACTGATAATCATCAGGACAGTAAATTGCTCAGTTTACAGGACAAAGCAAGATTTATTACCAAGGTTTGCTCAGATTAAAAAATAATGGAGATTAACAGGACTATTAAAATGGCTATTTAATTTTAATAAGTATGCTCATGACATTGCCCAACTAGTTTAAGCTCTGAACTTGTTTCTGAGTACAAGTAGTGAAGGAAACACTCCTCCTCAGTGGAAAAAAATAAAGTGCTTCTGAAGTTCCCAACAGGAAACACTTGTCCCCTTAAAGCAGAAGCAGATGATGCATCCCTGTGAAGACCTTCTGGAGGCCTTCCTCTCTTCACTGACAAGACATAGACTTTAGGCACTCCTTTCAGGAAGACTGCCTAATTAAAGTAGCTAACAGACAAGTACCAGTCATGTACCTATGGTCTTGGACTGAATCACCTCATGTCTTAAGCTTCTGCAAAGCTCCATTTCAATAGAGGACAGAAGAATGTGCTTCTTTACGAGGCATAATTTCAATGACTTGGGCAACCTGAGACTTGCAAAATTTGCAGTAAGTCTTCTAACATGACAGTCATCCTCAGTTGAGGAAAATTTCCTCAATTATGTTTTCTCCAGAGAGTTGCCCATCTAGTACTTAAAGCTGTGACTTTATAGTTTTGAGCTCAGTTTGACAAGGTTAGAGGAATAATCCTGCTATTTCACTTCCCCAGCCTTATTTAGAAATCCATTACTCCAGCTTCCTGAGCAGACATGAAACTAGTTGTTTTCTTGCAAACACTTGTAAATTACATTCTTCAAAAAAACCTCTTCAGGCACTAGCAAAGGGAGGTTGGCTTTTCTGCCAGTTTTATTTTGCTTTCTCCTTTGTCTCTTAACCCAGAGCAGGAGTAATATCTTTTTATTCCCTCTTTCATAAGATGCTCAGTGAATTTGAAAACTGGGGGGCGCTGATTCCCAATAATCTGTCTTCTTTTACTGTACACAGAGGGCTCAGAAGGGGTCTGACATCTACCCTGCAAGAGACCTTAGCAGTATGGCAGTCTGGGGGACACGAAAAGGCTTCCAGAGGATAAATGATGACTTAGCTTCACTTGTAGCTCAGTTGAAGTGAGTGAG